TCAGTGGTGTGTTATTTTCGTTCAGTCCGGAGAAGGCAGTCTGATTTCGGTCAGCCCCGCTCAGTCTGCCCATCTCGGAGGAGGGGCAGACTGAGCGGGGCTGACCAAAATCAGACTGCCTTCTCCGGACTGAACGAAAATAACACACCACTGAAGCCCCGGAGCTCGAATGTCCATCGTAAAACTAACTTTACCACGGTTTAATGTGGCGCTATGGCTCTGCAGACATTGCACGTTGCTGTCTTGTTTTGTGGTGTTTCTAGTGTAAAATACTTCCACACAGCGGACATGTTTAGATGAAAAGGTGGTTAGCTGTTAGCCACAGTGCTACTGCATGTTGTAGCTGGCTGCAAACTATGAAATGGATTTCCTGAATGTGAGGCGGGTCTTTTTACTCTGGGTTCATGAGACACGCGTTCGTTCAGGAAATCCATTTCATAGTTTGAAGCCAAAGTGCAGAGCAGCTGGCAGGGAATCACATGTGGAGACGTTTTACTTGGAGGCAGACATGCATCATGGATCGGAAATCTCTGCAGGTTGGATCGGAAAAATCCGATACGTAAATTATGCTGGTATTGGAGCCCGATACAGATACTGGATCGGCCCCATCCCTAGTTCTTGTACCTAACCATGACAGCATATCATGCAGTTTGTGCTTAATAAAGTGCACATTTTAAGCATAAAACAAAAAACTATTTACAGCAGATGAAGTTTCTGAAACTCGTCTTTAAGAAATGGAAAAATCAATCAGTTAATTCACTGACTGCCAAGTTTTCAGCTGTGCTGCCATTGGCATTTCTTTTAGAGTCAACTAAATAAGAACAAATTTGTCTTTACATCCAAGGATCTAATTTAAAACAAGTTTGGTTTTTTTACTGGTTTGTTATATGTTCACTAAACCAGTTCGTCTCTTGAGTTGAAGAGGCTTTTATGCCAGAATGATTCGTATGTCAAAGTGATGTAACAAAGTTAAAAAAAAAAAAAGAGAAAAAAATTTGAAAGCCTCGAGAAATATTGATCAAAAACACTTACAGAACTATACTCTGGCTGCAGCATGTACTCAACACATGCATGCAGTACTCTGACATTTACAAATTGCTTACATGCTTCTTGGTCTGTGAGGGTGACTGCTGTGCCATCGTATGGAACTGAGGCATCTGAGGAGAATGCACCATCAGAGGAGAGGGGCATTCATGGAGGGAACCTGGAAAAATAGAAGACAAGATGTTGCAATGCACCACAACTCAACCTAAAGCCTGCAAATGAGCCATAGATCTCCACTGCATGGCCACATGCAAGTACACCACCCATGCTTTATAATAGTACTTGTACACAGAGGTCAATCATTAACAGAATTTTATGTTTTAAAATTTTACACAACTTGAAGCATAATTGCCACAACACTGTAATACTTGATTTTGTTTCTAAAGCAGTAGCATTTGTTTAATACATCTAGGATTTTGAAAAACCTGCCAGTTTTTTCTTAATTTTCTCCACATGGACCCTGGATGTAGAACAGTTTGTAGAAAGATTTTTGTCTGGTGTTTTAATTGCCAACTAATGAATTAAAGGGCACAGTGACGAAATGCGGTAAAACTTGTGGTTAGTAGTCTTGAGAACGCGTTGTGTTTAATTACAGTTTTAGGTTGTAAAACTGACTATTGTGCTGCATGTATTGCAGGTATCTTTGAGACAACGCTACCCCTTTCAAGGATTCAAGGTTCTTTATTTGTCATTCCACATGTGGTGGAACGAAATTGTGTACACAGGGTCCCAGTTACATCCAACAATAAATTTTAAAAGAAAAACAGTAATAAGATCTAAGACATAAACTAAGAAAATTTTAATAAAAATACACTAAGCACTAACAGCATAAAAACAATACACCGAACAGCAGCACGAACATGAGTCTGTGTGAGCAGATGAGTACGCATGAAAACAGCAACCTGAAACAGATCAGCAGCAACATGATGCAATTTTTTCACAGTGATTATCCTGGTTAGATATTCATGAGTCTAACAGCCTCAGGGTAGAAGCTGTTCCTCAGTCTAGTGGTTCTACACTTAATGCTCCTCAACCTCCTTCCTGAGGGGAGCAGGGCAGAAAGTGTGTGCTGGGTGAGTGGGGTCCTTCATGATGCAGGTGGCTCTCTTCCTGCATCTGGAGGTGTAGATGTCTGTGATGGTTGGGAGGTTGACTCCAAAATTCAGATTCCTCCTTTACATTATTATATATAAAGTGCAGTCCAGCTGCTTAAAGGAACATGCATTTGAGAGACAACCATATCCCAAGTTCATCAATCAGCATTTTTCTTGGCAGCTACAGCCCATTTCATTAATAGAAGGCAGGCCCAGTTAAACACAAAAAGCAGCTAGTTGAAATAAAATTAAATTATGAGGAAAAAACTTACCTGCAGATGAGAAGGGCTCTACTTTAATTTGTGGGGATGGTTGCTGATGATGTAACTGTTGTAACTTCTGCTGCAGGGTCACACCCTTCTGTTGCTGTGACAATGACGTTTGTGTGTGTAGAAACGATAGCGGGATTTGGCCTGGGATGTGTCTCTGCATCAGGGCAGGGGTGCTTGTCGTCATAACCTGCGCATGCATTGGAGGTACCAGCTGGGGTGCAACCTGCCCGGGGGAGTGGGTGTGCAGCGGCTGCGACTGAGTGGGGGGTCTTGGCTGAAGTGACTGCAGGAGGGTGTGGACTTGACTGAGCGGCAGTATGTCAGAATTATTGTTTGCTGGCTCTTCATCATCCTCCAGCAGGGCTTGGGGAGGCTGAGCTGAAAGAGTACCCAGGATGCCATGTGACGGAGGTGATGGAGCCCGCGGTCGAGGGACGGGCTGCGGAAGGTTGATGGGAAGCGTGGGCTGAAGTTGCGTTGAAGATGACGGTGGCATGGAGGGAAGCGAAGATGGAGGAGGCTGTGAATGTTTGGGCGGAAGCGGTGCGGCGCGGTTGCTAGGTCTTGATGGTTGCTGGGGAAGAGCATTGTGGATCGCTGCAAAAAGGAAAGAGACGAAAATGAAAAGATGATTGAAAACAGGAAAAGCACAAGATCAAGTATGTTTTCTTTACTCTTAAATGTAAAATCCAGAAAGCAGTTTTCTGCAGGTGAAACAAATGTATTCAAAACATGGCAGGAAGAAATGTCCTTCAATAGAATTTTTAAAAACAAAATCTTTAGTTATTGATATTCTATCTAGCAAGACAGAACTTTTCTAGAGCAAAGGACAGAAAAACAAGTTACCATATTTTTCAGCTTATAAGTCATGTTTTTTTTTGCATAATTTGCATGCTCTGTGACTTATTTATGGATTTTTTTTTCCCATATTTATAAATCAATTTTTGGCTGAGATAATATGACTTGTTTGCATTCATTCTGACTGAAAAATACTGAACACTACTCTAAAAAAAGTTAAATCTGGTCCTCTGGACATTCAAAAAAATGTTTTTTTTGAATGTCCAGAGGACCAGATTTAACTTTTTAGATTTTTCTACCTGGATTATTGAGCATGCATCAGGATATTGAACACTACTATTTTCAGCCACTAGATGGCACTCGAGTAGTATGGCATGCCATTGTATCATGTAATAGGTAAAAGTGGCTATTAATGACACAATCAGCTTCATTTTGCTGCGCCGTCCCGGTGAAAAGCAGCTAATTTGACCACTGAAGTGCATTTATTAAGTAAAAGTTCAACTGACACACCTTTTCTCTAAAGTCTACCAAAAAATTGTTTTGGTGCTTTTCTTGTGAAATTTCAAAGAAATGCACAGCGAGTCCTCCCATGCACGTTCCTACTTCAGCTTTTCATCAAGCTTTTGAAATTAAGCTGATTTGACCATCAAAGTGCATTTATTAAGATAGACTGAGACACACTTTTGCTATAATTTCGAGCAAACAAATAATTGTTTTTAAGTGTTAATCTTGTTAAATTCTTGCTAAAGTCCTCCTGTGCACGCTCCCACAACCGCCATTTGGCATCCAGTTGATTTTTGGCACACCACCGGCCTATGTTTCCGGGTTGTCAGCGGTGACGCATAATAGATGCGACTTATGGAGCGATGTGACATATTTATGGATTTTTCCACTTTAATAGACATATTTGGACTGATGCGACGTGTACGACAGAATATACAATAATTAATAGAAACAAAAGTATTAACTCGCCTACATTAATGCATTTTCTGAACTGCAGCTCCAGTAAACCTACCTGGGGAAGGTACAATGGGATGTTGGTTAAGGAAGGGGTGCGTGTCCGTCGGCATCTGGTTGGTAGGCATGTTTGCGTTGAGAAGGCCGGAGGAAACAAGAGCAGCAGCAGGGGTTATGGGTGCACTAGACTCTGCGTTGGACTGCACCAGGTGGGGGGTCATGAAGTGGTCAAGAGGATCAAATCCTGGGGCCATTAACTGGGAGGAATCTAGAGTGGGGACAAATTGTGGCTTTGACTGGACCAACTGAGGCTGAGTTTGAGGAGCAGCAGCGACTGGGCCCGCTCCACTACTGACGGGCTGGAGGAGCGGTCTTTTTGTGTCCTTGTTGGCTAAGATTTTCTTCTGTTGCTTGGGAACCAGCCCTGTAGACAGAAAGAAGGAATAAGCCCTGAAGATCTGTGATATTACAAAATACACACTAATGTATTGAAGCTGCTGGTTTACTACACATGAGCTGGTGCTCAGAGGTGAGTGTGAACATTACCATTCTCAGAGTCTTCACTATCGGAGGAGTCACTGCTTTCTGACGATGAGGATCCTGTCTTCATCTTTGTCACAGTTGTCATTTCCAGAGACTTCTCTACAAGAGTCAACAAAATAAATAAAAAAACTCTCAATTCAATAATAACGTTACTTTAATAATAACCACATCACTTAAAGACAATAGAGTCAATGAGGGACATGATCCTTGACAATCAATCAGTCAATGACAGTCAACATCCTTTTCATGACACCCTACAAAGGAAGCAAAGCTCCATTTCTAACAGACACGTTTAGCTGCGCTGACACAGAGAACGCTACAGGAAAATACTCCTTCCATTTGTAATTTCACTTTTTAACTGCTAACTCTTAACAAATGAACACGAGTAAACTAACACTTGTACACAACTACTGCAAAAATGCACAGTATACTTTACCATCATTACACAGTGCTACTGTCAATTTGTAAATTATGTACATCTTTTTATTTAGCCATACAGGACCTTTGTATTAGGACTGGGAGACAGCGACAAAAAAAAAAAAAATTAAGAGATGCACGATATTGGATTTTTGGCCGATATGTTAAAACTTGTTTGGCCGATAACCGAAAACCAATAGATATTTTTTTCCCTAGACCTATTTACAGAGACTACACAGCTTTCTTTGAAGTGGAATTAAAATACTACATTATTCTGCATGGTGTTTGTCCATTTGGCTTGCTACCAAATGCAAATGCCAAAAAGGAGGCTGCAAATGATGTGACACTATATAAATATATAATATATATATATAAAACATTGCCTTTTATATCGGTGAGTTATTTTGATGGAATGGCTGATGTCTGATATTTAACTTTATCGCTAATATTGGCCTAGAAACGATACCATGCCATGTCATGCATCCCTAAAAAAAATACATATTTGTATACAATATAACTTGAGAGTATATAGTTTATATCAGTATAGCCTATGTTGCATTATAATGACACTATTAGATCTGCCAGTTGGCCTTTCTATTCTCCCCATTTGTCTGTGCACAAACTCTTCACACTGCCAGCCGGTACAGCCTCTCACCCTCACCAGACATAATTACTCTTCTCCCACGTTTCACCAGGAAACTTGCAGTCAGCGACAAACACATATATGATATATTCCGTTGTGGATAACACAAAGGAATAACAAAAAGGAGTTAGACTCAATTATTTGGAGATGCTTAAGATTGAAAGTGTCAGATGAGCAGCAGAATAATGGATTCTGAAGAGAATGCCGAAAACATGTGCAGCAGGTGACAATGTTTGAGTTGTCTCTATGGGGCTCTGTAAAGGACTTGTGACCAGCCCAAGATGTAGCTCGCCTCTTGCACAGTGACTGATGGATACAGGCACCAGTAACCCCAGCAACCCAGAAAGGAAGAAGCGGGTGGGCAGATGGCTGGATGGTCTTTCACTACACTGTATTATTACATTAGCTGACAAAATGATAGTTAATGTATTTCATTTAAATATTAGGGATGCTTTATCATCATTTTAAAAGACTAGTATAGTCACTTAAATTACCAATAAATCTTTAACGCCTTACTTAAAATTAGTACAAGATTTCTATCAAGTTAGAAGCCTGTAAATACTGTGGAATATCCCAATTTAACATGTGATATGGGTTTTAAATTACCTGTAATAATAAGTCAAATAAAATAAATAAAAATTAGCTTTGTTCCACCAGCTCTAAAAAAAAACTGAATAAAAACAGGAAGCAGAGTTTGTGGATTCTACATCTATCCAAGCATACGGACCCATTCCTATTTCTGTGCAAGAACTTCAATTGTAGTGAAGATTTTGAATTAAATTATGAAATAATAAATTGTTCTGTGTACACGTTCCCTTACAAGGTACTTTCTCTTGTGAACCCTTTCAAACAAGCCATAAATGTCGATGTCTGTGTTTAGTTTATTGTGAAAATTGTACTTTCATAATTTTAATGTTAAGCTTGTTAACGTAAGCCTGCAGTTGGACATGTACTGGATCTGTCTGAAATATCACTTGATCCTGTGTTGTTGTGGTCATTAATATGTAAGGATGTATTTAGTCGATTTCCAGAATTTGTCTGACAGATTAAATTTAAGACGTGTAGGAGGATTTAAATGACATTCAGCAAGACTTCAGCAAAAAGCCTACCTGATGGTTTTTTCTTCTTTTTGAGGCAGCTACAGACGTATTTTTCTAACTCTCTCAGCGTGGAGGGCTTCAGTGTCTCAAAGTCGATCTCGATCTCGTCTGGATTAGAGTTCTTCAGTGAAGGCTCACGCGTTTGGATTATGTGCACAACCCTGCCCAGTTTGTCACCGGGCAACTTGTTTATGTCGAGGCTCAGCTGGCGCTTCTCCTCGTACGACATCGGCTTGCATTTGTCAGTGCTCAATTCTGGAGAGACAAATGTTGCAGGAAGTTTGAGACAGGGTTTTAATAAATAAATAGCTTTATCTCAGCAATTCAAAGATAAAATCTAATTATATATAATAAGTCTGTTTTTTGGTAAACATACCTGGGTCGTCCTCTGCTTCAAGAGAAGCTGAAGGGACGAGAGAGACCGGGCCTGTCTGAGGAGGCACAGCTGGGTGGCTGTTTTTATTTCCTTCTTTTTTACTGTGATGGGAAATGAATAATTTAGCTCCAGTTCATGCAGCAACATCAGGTTGTTTTTTACTTAAGGTAATCTTACCCATTTTTTTTCTTGTCCTTCTTTGCCACAACAGGATCTTTGCTGCTCTTGTTTTTCTTAGAAATCTGAAGCACTGCAAGAGGAGAGGTCTCTGCAGATTCCTCTGTTCCCATCTTCTTCTTGTGCTTTTCTTTTTTCTTCTCCTTTTTGTCTCTCTCTTTCTTTTTGGGCTTGGTGGCCTGCGGCTGGGACAGTGCTGCCAGCTGCTCATGGACAGCTTTAAGCTAGAGGTACCATACACACAGAAGAGGCCTTAAAATCAACATTACCTGTGAATTACCTCTCCGTGTTCCACCAATCACTCAAAGGCCCCACTCCCTCTAATTTTAACGTTCTAACCTGTTCCTGCAACTCAGCCAATCGCTGTTGTCTTTCTTGCTCTGAGTCTCCTCTTGAGCACTCTGAATCAGAAGAACTAGAGCTGTCCTCTTCTGAAACAGCAGTCGGGGGTGGGGCTTGTCGAGTAGAGGGTGCAGAGTGGAGGACTGATGATGGTGTAGGAGCTGGTGCAGACTCCTCCGAATCATCAGGCATTTTGGCGAAACGCTTCTCAAATACATCCTGTGAGATGGGAGGAAGGACAAATTATGAGCTCGACTGGAATAGGAAATGTACTTTGTATATGTTTATAACTCCAAATTGCATGCATTGCTCCGAGGCACCACGACATGTGGGCATGGCTGCGAGTCATATGCATAAAATAGCATGTGCTAAAAACATTTAACAATTTGACTATGGGTCAAAGAAGCAGGTGTTCAAGAAACAAGGATCTTAGTGTCAACTTATTTCCTTTAGTCAAACATGATGAAGCAACAATTTTGGCAGGGGAGTTGATCTGTGACCATCAATCTTATACTAAGAACATTAGACGATGTGTCCCTGTCTTCTCTAATTGTTGGAAACTGAAGCTAGAAGGACACAGAAGGTGCTGCCAGGTTGTAGTTAGGCACTAAAGTTCTGCGTTTTAGGAATGTGGGGCTTTAGATTTTGTTTATTCCCACACACACACACACAAATATGGTGTTGTATTAACTTTATTTCAACCATGAAATAACAGATTACAGCTAAGCCTATTAGACAACTTATTGATAATATAATTCATTTTCTTGTGAACTTGCAAACTCATGCTCAAGACATTAACCTTAAGCATAATACAGACAAAACAAAGGTTTGGCTACAGGTAGACCTGTCACGATAACTAATTTTGCCGAGTGATTAATTGCCTCGGAAATTATTGCGATAAATGATAATATTGTTTGAAATTTGACAATAATTAGTAATTACTGTCAAATTTAAAAAGAAATGTGGGTTAATTTTTGTGTGTAGTAACGTTTTTGACCACTGGATGGCAGCATAAGACAGTTTGAACAATCCAAAAATGCAATTTTGGATCGTTAAAACAGATTTTAAAGAGAAAAGAGAAAAGGAGGGGTCAGTGAAGAGCACTGGAGTTGAGCCTTTTGTCATCCAGTGTCTTCAGTAGAAAGAGAGACATGAAGAAACGATAAAGCCGATAAATAAAAATGAGGTTGATTATCTTCATTTATCATGCAATTAATTGATTTGCTATTTATCGCGACAGGCCTAGCTACAGGACTTCATAAAAGTCCCGAATGATCCAAACTCAGTAGCAATGCTGTTATGATCAGAGTCTGACACACAGGTTTCAGAGGTTTTGGTCATGCCAAGTACAGAATGTCAGCTGTTGTATGCATAACTGTGTGCAAAATGAGCATTTTACCTGTAGTTTCCGTGCCATGGAAACTACATCGTGGTCTGGAGGATTGTACTTGTAACAGTTTGAGAACATCAACCTGACATCTGCTGCAAATTCCTGTGCGTCTCTGTACTGTCTGTTGTCCACGTTTTTCTGAAGGAGGCAAACAAATCATTTGCAATGATCAAAATCTTGTAAGCTTTAATACAAACCTATTATTTATATAGCAACCCAATCAAGTTTATTTCCTTAATCTGTTGTATTAACTACTATCTGCTTCACTTCAAAAACATAGGTTTACACATACTGGCCACGCATTCTTATAAATTCACCTTGATGGTGCTGAGATCCATGGGGTGCTTAATGATGTCATGGTAGTCGTGTAGGCCCAGAGTTTTCGCATCAACAGGTTTGTAAAAAGGCCAGGCATACCCAATGTGTTTCTTTGACAGCATTTCTCTAAGGAGGCGTGCACAGAAACGCATTGGTTCCTGACGCTTCGATGCTACTGGTCCTCCCGTCTCCAGGCCTCCTACCAGATGATGCTGAGAGTCTGGCTGTGAGGACTCTCTTTTGGGTTGCTTTAACGGGCGAGCACTTTCTCGGCGAGGCCGGGTTACCTCAGATATGGGAGGCGATTCACTTAGCTGGTCATTAGCTGTGGGTGTTGTGGTGTCTGCTTTTCTTTTCTGGCTCTTTTTCTGCTGTTGGAATGTGAGACATTTAAGGTCAAAAACTGAAGATCTGCTGGTGTCCACCAGAGTACATGTGGGTGTGTCCTTACCTTGATGAGAGCTGGGGAGCTCTGCGGCACGGGGGCAGGATGGAGGCCTGGGTGCGTCAAAGGAGGAGGAGGAACAGATGTCATGCCCTGGGCCAGGACATCTGGGGTAGAGATGGGGAATGAAGGTCCAAGATGTGAAGTATGGTTGGCGGGTGTAGGGGGCACACGTGGGGACTGAGTCTGAGTCAGAGGCTGGGGGAGTGGCTGAATGAGAGGTGGCTGGATGAGAGGCTGGGGAGGAGGCGGCTGGATAATAGGTTGTATAAGAGGCAGGGAAGGAGGCTGGGTAAGGGGGAGGGCCGGTGCGATGCGAGCCTGTGGAGTGTTGGATGGAGATGAAAAGCCTCGTGTGTGAGGGGTAGTAGAAGGAGAGGATGAGTCTTGGCCTGAATCTGACAAAGTGATCAGAGCTGGAAGAGAGGGCACAAAATTAGACCTCAAATGTGCACAAAGATGGAATATAAAAAAGGCACAACATTTTGTGCTAAAGTCTTGTTTTCACTTGTACAAATAAACCATTTTCAACAAAAACTAACAAACCTAAAAGGCTTTAAATAAATGTGGGTTTAACAATTATAATGTGCTTGTATTTACAAGTGTGGGTGGTGGGTTAGATTAGAGCTAATAAAACTTTTGCTGGAATAGATGCAAACTATTCCTTAAATTAATAGTCTTTCTGCTCCAGACCACCTAATATGAATTAATGGATGATTAATAGTCTTCTGCAGAACAGGAAGGAGTAATTCAACCATTGAATCAGGTGTGTTGTGGCAGAGAAACAAGCATGCAAGATAGTGACCCACAAGAAGATGCAAGACCCCTAGTCCAAATTGCCTTACAAAAAAAATCCTTACCTGTCTCTCGTCTGTTCCCACGACGACCCTTTGTAACCACAGCTATCTCCACCTCTTCCTGAGGCATTTCTGTAATCTTCTGGAGAAAAAGCTTTTCTAAGGCTTCAGCCATCAGGACAATATCCTCCCCAGGCTAAATGAACAAAAACACAAACAAACGTATTGACTAAAAAAAAACTAATTGTACTTTTAGCACTTTGTGCATTATCCTATTTTTTATTTTATTTTAATTAGCATAGACAAAGATCATTACAGTCAAAATCACCGCTATGTCCTGCAGCTACTAAATGTGATACAGAGGTGGTTTAACTCAACAAAACAGAAGTGTTTGCAAATGAAGTCACATAGCAGGAATACAAAAAAAATCCTGCACAGTCGTTCATGTTAGTCTTTATCCAACCAGTGGCCTCAAAATGTCCAGACACATTTTGCAAAAGCCTTCTAACGATTCTTTGGAGCATCTAGGACAAACTGTAGTTGTGACAACTGGATGTAAAACTTTCTGTGCGTGCACTTCAAAAAGCATTTCCTGAATACAACTGCCAGCCGAAATAATAATAATTTAAAAAATCTATCTATAAATGAACGAGAAAGCACATTTAAGAACGAAGCCATATCTTGAGCAATATAAATCTAACTCTGAACTCAAGACGATCTTCTTCAGATCATCTTCTAGCAATTTCCATAACTTTTTTTTTATAGCTCCAATAAAACTGTTTGACAACCAAATTAAATTGTTTAAGCCAATGAAGTCCACACATCGATTTTCTTTACTCGCGTCGCTGTACAGGGTCACGAGGAGCTGGTGCCTATCTCCAGCAAGGTGGGGTACACCCTGGACTGGTCGCAAGTCCATCACAGGACTACAGAGAGAGACAAGACAAACCACCATTCACACTCTCAGGCCAAAAGTGAAAATATTTCTAGTACACGTTACGACTGTGGTCATACACAGTTGTGTGTGGGTGTGTATCCCATTGGAGTGAATTAATGTCAAGCTGAAAGGCCACTGGCTGCCTGACAAGATGTGCTGCATAAAGACGAGCTGCGCAGGTGATGATGTGATTCCATTCCTTCTGCGCATCCTAACTAACCACACCGGACCCATGTGCCATGTCAGCCTAGATGGTTTGTAAATAGTTTTGTGAGAAGTTTGTAGGGGTGAGCTGCCATTTATTTCAAGATATTTCTCCTGTTTTTCTAAGTCCAGGAAGATGAGAAAATGATGTTTGATTTTTATTTCTGAACACAGGAAAGAGAATTAATAAAATAGTTAACTTTTTTTTTTTTTTTTGTTATTTTGTTTTATTTCCATTAAGGATGCTGGTAAGACTTAATTTTGTAAAATACTCAACCACCGTAAATTAATCACACATTTTTCTCTAAAAATGACCATCCTGTTACTGTGGCTGCTTGAGTTGTGCACAAGTTGGAACCACCGTTACTTTATGTCCCGCCCACTCCTAAACAGGCATAACGTATATTTGAAGATAAAAGTAAAGTAGATGACCATGTCTGATCAAAAAGTTTGAGGCTTTTTTTTTCTTCTTGTGTTATGGTTACCCAACATGAACCCTAGTGCAAACAACTTAACAACTGAAAAAGATAATTCACATGAAAAGCACATTGCACATTAAACACTTATAGCAACGTGAGCCTGCAGGTTGCAAATACAAGCACTTTGCTTGTACCGTTTTCACGTGCCCTGGTACGTCATCGTTTAGAGGCTGCACGTAATCACGGTCTGACAGCAAAAGTTTTTAGTCAACCAACAACTGTTAAAAATGAAATGTGGGAAAAATAATAGGACAAAGAATTCTTGTTCATGAAAGTCAAGTACTAACAATTTGTAGTTTGGCTCACCTTGTTGTAGATGTAGCAGTTTGTGAACATTGTGTTGAAGTCATGGATGCACTCCTGGGCATTCCAGTAGTAGTTGTTCTCTAGACGTTTCTTTATTGTGCCCATGTCCATAGGAGTTCTTATGATCTTATAGTAGTCCTAATAAAGAACGAGAACAGGCGAGCATCAAACAAATGTAACGTAGTGGACAAGTGTTTGACAGTATCACCCATTTTCAGATGAAAACGCTGATGTTACAGAACAGTGATTCATATGAAGCTTGTTGATTGTAGCATAAGGCAGGTTAATAAAACACAAAGTGCCAAACACATGAGATCTTTAGTATTAAGTACACAAAAATGGTTTCAGTAATTCTTCAGGTTTTGGATTAAAATTAAATTCTGTAAAAAACATGCATGTTAGATCGATTAGTAACTCTAAATTGTCCCTAGGTGTGAGTGAGTGTGTGAACGGAAAAGAGTTTGTAAAAATAATTTGTTTATTCCTGGGCAGCACATCGATCAGAACTACTCTACAATGTTTGCATATGAAATTTATTTGACAGGTCCTGCAGTATAAGTTGTGCGCTTTGTACTAATATAATTTAAATACAGATAGGTCAAAACAAGAACAAGTGATTTACAGGCAAATTGAGTTTGACTGCATCTACAGGTGCTTGGAAGGGCCATGCAAACTGATGTTTCCACAAAGTCTTCAACACCACTTTCAGCAGGTACTGGAAAAAAAAAAAAAAAAAGACGACCATGATTATACAAAGAAAATCAGTCAAACCGACGACAAATTACAAGCAACAAAAACTGAAATGAAGCTACCTGTAGCTGGTTGGTTTGTCGTTTGGGTCTTGAAGGGTTCCATGTTTCAGGGGGTGGGGGGTTGAACGGGAGCGGTGGTGTGGCCGAGGAAATGTTCTGACTGCTGCCTGCTTCCAGTCCGTCTCCCATCGCAGTGGTGGGTCGCAGTGACTGAGCAGACCGTTTTGGCAGATTTAACCTGGCCTGGGCAGGTTGGAGCGGGGGGACCCCCCTCAGGCCATCACACTCGTCTCGTGACCCTCTGAAAAGACGACCAGGAAAAGACAAGACCTCAGTGAATGTCTTTATGAGAAGCCAAATTGAAACTTGGCCAAACTATCTCTAACACAGTGTGAAACCATTTCTACGCCATGTTTCAATTGTTTCACTGAACCGTGTCCGTGTTCTGCTCTGATCTTTAGCATCCGATGCTTCAGTGTGCGACAGCAACATGAAGAAAACAAACGCCTCACATCCCAAAGAAAACATCCCACTGTTGGAAGCTGCTACAAATGTGAATCAAACTTTGCAGCTCGATTTGTTTCTCTCAGCGGGGACGCAATACCTCTGTAAACCAATTAAACTGATCTTTACATGCATTCTGGGCGAGTGGATCCCTTGAGGACATCAAACTATAGGACTGAAAGCACTACACTGCAATGAGGGTGCATTAAGATCCAACCACATTATTCTTGGACACTTGCAAACACTTTCAACAGATTTGTCCTAGACTACATCCAGGATATCAAGTAACACAACTTGACTACACCAGCAGAAGAGTTTCCACTATATTACTATATTATATTACTATATTCTATATGTACAGTTTTTCATTTTTATAAAAAAAAATTTACACAGTTGTATAATGTAACCACTTTTTTCCCCCCAACTGTACATTGTGTTGTGTGTGAATTATCATCATTGCGTGTTCCCATACAATGGACAGATTTGGGATCTGAATTCAACCAATCACATGAACCTAGATTATGTGTGTCAAACTCAAGGCCTGGGGGCCAAATGTGGCCCTCGTTGACATCTTATCCAGCCCCCAAGATGATATGTGAAAGGTAAAAATACTTCTATCTCTTGAATTTGTTCAGTAATCTTTAATTATGATGCTGAAAGCACAACAGAGAACATCAAATGAGACCAATTAAACTCTTGTTGAGAAACCTGTGACCAAGAAAAGATGCTGGGAATCTGATTAGAGTTAATGTAGTTTCTGAAATTGGCCCTTAGTTTGAAAAAGGTTTTAATTTTGGCCAACTTTTGCAAGGGAGTTTGACACCCACAGAGTAATTAAAGATTACCAGTATGTCTCTTGCTCAAGGACACTACAACGTATGGGCATTTTGGGGAACTGAACCTGTGACTTTCTAGCAACAGGTTGGTTGTCCTACAACTGCATCACAGCAAGTGAAAAGGGTCATATAGTTTAATTAATAAAGTTTCAACAATGAAAAAAATAAAGAAAATTTGTAAAATGTCATAAATAGACAATTTTCAACAAAAATATAACAAATCGTGTTTCAGCTCAATAAAACAAAGGTTTATTAAAGAGCTTAAAAATTTGTGTAAGATAGAATTATTCACATTTGCTTTATATACAAGTAGAGCACCATTTGTTCCCATTGTAAAATGGTAAACCAATGTCCCGTCGCTGAGCGATTTGGATAGTGAATGTTTGTAGTTCTGGACTAAAATTGATTCTCCTAAGTCACAAACAGGTTTCTCTTGAAAATGAATCCTTGTGACTCAATGAGACTAACCTGTATGAATATAGGTCGAATGAACTTGCCTTGGGAGGTTCATGTCTTCAGGGTTTTTGCCGACTGGGGGGTGGGTGTAGAAGACAAGCGGAGCACTATGTCTGTATTGCTCGGTTTGGGGTCTGACCCGAGCTGCTAATCTCTACTCCCCGTCCGGAAGTGGCGGAGCAGAGTGGGTGGGGTGGGGGGAGGAGAGATGTTGTAGGTGGGGTGTCCTCCATGGATAATGGTAGGAGAAACACTGGAATGCAAGTACCGGTAAACCTTAATGATTTTGGTGCAAGATATTCAAGATATTCAAGTGGGAAGGAGTTAAACTATTAGAATAGAAATGGGTTTTATTTATACATGCTTGTCTGAGGCAGAGCAGAGTGATGGATCCTTGCAAGTGGAGGTAGCAAAATTACTTGGCCACTACAGATTAATCTTCGGCCACCCCATTCATTTCAGGAAACTATACTTTTAAGCAATATAAAAACTAGAAAGCATAGTTTTCTCAAATAACTGGGGTGGCCTTCTTGGATTTTGACTTGGCAACTCAGTTTTTCCACAGTGCCCTTTCTTACACATAAATGCAGCCACGCACCAAAATGGAAGTTTGCACTTTGTTTATTTTTGAAGTTATCAAGCTCACAATGCTTACATATACAAACCGGATTCCAAAAAAGTTGGGACACTAAACAAATTGTGAATAAAAACTGAATGCAATTATGTGGAGGTGCCAACATCTAATATTTTATTCAGAATAGAACACAAATAATAATAATAATCATTTTATTTAAAAAGCGCCTTTCATGACACGCAAGGACACTACGATTAAGGAGAGAGAACAAAGTCTTTGAATTGCCAACATTGGAATTGATGATGTCAGAGAAGTAGCTGGATTTGGCTTGAGAAATACTGTCCTTATACTGGATGACGTGGTTGGCATAGAGTTCCTTGTGAATTGAAATCATAGATCAAAAGTTTAAACTGAGAGAATGTATAATTTTAAGGGAAAAATCTGTTGTTTCCAAATTTCATGGCGTCAACAAATTCCACAAAAGTTGGGACAAGTCCATTTTTACCACTGTGTGGCATCCCCCCTTCTTCTTACAACACTCAACAGACGTCTGGGGACAGAGGAGACCAGTTTCTCAAGTTTAGAAATAGGAATGCTCTCCCATTCATGTCTAATACAGGCCTCTAACTGTTCAATCGTCTTGGACCTTCTTTGTTGCACCTTCCTCTTTATGATGCGCCAAATGTTCTCTATAGGTGAAAGATCTGGACTGCAGGCTGGCCATTTCAGTACTCGGATCCTTCTCCTACGTAGCCATGATGTTGTGATTGCTGCAGAATGTGATCTGGCATTATCGTGTTGAAAAATGCAGGGTCTTCCCTGAAAGAGATGATGTCTAGATGGGAGCATATGTTGTTCTAGAACCTGAACATAGTTCTCTGCATTAATGGTGCCTTTCCAGACATGCAAGCTGCCCATGCCACAAGCGCTCATGCAACCCCATACCATCAGTGATGCAGGCTCCTGAACAGAGTGTTGATAACAACTTGGGCTATCCTTGTCCTCTCTGGTCCGGATGACATGGTGTCCCAGTGTTCCATAAAGAACTTCAAATCGTGACTCATCTGACCACAGAACAATCTTCCATTTTGCCACACTCCATTTTAAATGACCCCTGGCCCAGTGCAAACGTCTGAGCTTGTGGAGCTTGCTTAGAAATGGCTTCCTCTTTGCACTGTAGAGTTTCAGCTGGCAACGGCGGATGGCACGGTGGATTGTGTTCACTGACAATGCTTTCTGGAAGTATTCCTGAGCCCATTCTGTTATTTCCTTGACAGTGGCATTCCTGTTTGAGGTGCAGTGACGTTTAAGGGCCTGGAGATCACGAGCATCCAGTAGAGTTTTACGGCCTTGACCCTTACGCACAGCGATTGTTCCAGATTCTCTGAATCTTTTGATGATGTTATGCACGGTTGATGATGATAACTTAAAAGTCTTTGCTATTTTACGCTGAGTAACACCATTCTGGTATGGCTGCACTATCTTTCCGCGCAACAATGGTAGAATTGGTGATCCTCTTACCATCTTGGCTTCTGAGAGACACTGGCACTCTGAGAAGCTCTTTTTATACCCAATCATGTTGTCAATTGACCTAATTAGTGTTAATTGGTCTTCCAGCTGTTCGTTATATGCTCAATTTCCTTTTTCCAGCTACTTATTGCTACTTGTCCCAACTTTTTTGGGATTTGTTGACACTGTGAAATTTTGAATCAACATATTTTTCCTTTAAAATGTTACATTTACTCAGATTAAACTTTTGATCTGTCATCTATGTTATATTATGAATAAAATATTGACATTCGCCATCTCCACATCATTGCATTCAGTTTTTATTCACAATTTGTTTAGTGTCCCAATTTTTTTGGAATCCGGTTTGTATAACATACATAGCAGCTGCCATCTTTAATTTTGACATGGCAGCCCAATTTTGGGACTCTTTTTATTACACCTTGGTGCATCCACATACCAAAATGGAAGTCGGTACCTCATTTATTGGGGAGAGCCTGAAAGCAGCCACCTATTATTACCCACCTGAAAAGCGTCTTGTTCTTCTATTAAATTTAATGCAACCCTGTGGAAGTCAGTAGAAAGAGACGAAAAATATTTTGAGTCTCGATTTATTCTCTGTCTTCCAACATCAAACTCAGAAAAAACAAATGATTTACAACCATTGATCTGCTCTTTTTATATTCTGTCCCTTTCACAATAAGAGCATATTCTGACGTGAAATCCGCCACAACCCGAACCGCAATGTGTACCTCCACAAATTTTATATCAATATGACCAGCACCGTGATGTGTGCTATCACTTTTATTGGCATTTCGAGTTAACATGGCAACGTAATTTGCAAACAAAGAGGTCATTTTTCTCATTGAAAAACACTGACAGAACTCTTCACAGCCTCTAACAGCCACAATGAGGTCACGACCTTGAGGAGAGAGGTCTCTGACTAAAACTCAGTATGTCGTCAAAAAAACTCTTCCTACCACCACGTCTTTCATGATACACATACATATTATGTATTATGTATCAAAACATGGGCATTTTTATCATCTAAATTATGCACCAACTGACAGACGGTATTTTCGATTCCCTCTCTTCGTGACGAGGACAATAAAAGTGCATCACATGCAATTTTAAAAATCACTTTATAGACTCCATTTAATGCAGAGTAAATTGATTGTATAATAAATGTGTCCAATATGACAAACCAATGATGATAATCAGGACAAAGAAGTCTCAAATTTGCTAATTTCTAGAAGAAAAAAAAAATTAACTGGAGGATCTGCTGAACAACTTCCAGCTGCTGCAACAAGGGTTAACAGGCATGTACTGAGGTTTAATCATGTTCTATAAAAGCATCACCTAAAAAGAAATAAGTTTGGTTTTTTTCTAGAGGTAAATCCACTTTAGGATCTAGAGATCTAGAGACAATCACTAATCACAAACAACAAGTCCAGCTACAGGCAGGATGTGGAACACCTGGAGAGCTGGTGCAGGAAGAACAACCTTCACATCAATGTGAAGAAAACAAAGAAGATGGTCGTGTACTTCAGACATAACATACATACATACCCCCCAAACAAAGGAGGATCTGCAGTGGAAGTGGTCTCCAGCTACAAGTGCTTGGGTGTGCACCTGAATGACAACCTCAGCTGGGACAACAACACCACCAGCCTGATCAAGAAAGCTCATCAGAGACTCTACTTCCTCAGGTGGCTGAGGCGAGCTGGTCTGGGAAGCTCAGTCCTCACCTCCTTCTACAGGTGTGCAGTGGAGAGCATCCTGTGCTCCAGCATCAACGTGTGGCATGGAGGCTGCACAGCTGCAGAAAGAAAAGCTTTGCAGAGAGTGGTGAAGGCTGCACAGAAATCTGTTGGAATCAGCCTCCCCACCATCACAGACATCTACACCTCCAGATGCAGGAAGAGAGACACATGCATCATGAAGGACCCCACTCACCCAGCACACACACTTTTCACCCAACTCCCCTCAGGCAGGAGGTTGAGGAGCATTAAATGTAGAACCACTAGACTGAGGAACAACTTCTACCCCAAAGCTGTTATAGACTCATGAATCTCTAATTAAGATTATCACTGTGAAAAAAATCACTGCAGTGCCACTTGATTGTTGAAATGTGTTGCTGACTATCCATGCTGCTGATTTATTTCACGCTGCTGTGTCCATGCATACTCATCTGCTCACACAGACTCATGTTCATGCTGCTGTTCAGCATATTGTTTTTGTCCTACTAGTGCTTAGCGCATTGTTAAACATTTTTCTTAGTTCCTATCTTAGATCTTATTACTGTTTTTCTTTACAATTTATACTTTTGTGGGATGTAACTGGAACCCTATGTACATAATTTCGTTCCATCACATGTACCGCATGTGGTGCGAATGACAAAGAAAGCTTGACTTTAAACCGATGCTCAATGGGTAACTTCTGCTCAATTTTCAACCACAAGTAAAATGTTGTCTCTAACTTGTATAGAATGTAAAAACCTTGTATATGCTTAAACTGATGCTTAGAGTAGCAAATATGTTTTTAGAAACTTACATGTTTGATGTTGTGCCACTGTGGTCTTAATCCACTTGTGTGATCATATCTTCGTAAGGTGGCAGTTTTCTGAGGTAACAAGGAATGTTTGTCTGTGAGATGCTGCAGGGCAAGGAAACCACAACACAGGGACAGAAAGTTGAGCGTCTCACCTTTGAAAAAAGCAAATAAATGAGTATCAATAACATGTCAAAACAGGTTGATTCCAACTAACACTAAAATGAGCTAAAAGGTCAATGTTTGTTCAGCCAACATGGACACAGAGCAAGTGGCTCCTTTACACAATAACACAGGTCTTTGTGTTTTTTATATGTAAATGGACTTTATTTATATAGCGGCTTTCTATCTTATCAAGACACTCAAAGTGCTTTACACTACAATCTGTGCCCTCGTTCACCCACTCATACAGCACTCTACTAGAGCTCTACCAAGCTAATTGAACAAATCATTCTAAAAGAGACTAATCAGAGCTTTATCACATTCATACACTGATGGGACACACATCAGAGGCAATGAAAGGTTCAGTGCCTTGCCCAGGGACACTTCAGCATGTGACTACTGGTGGATTCGAACCCCAACTCTTGCATTGGAGGACGACTGATCTAACCACTCAGCCACAGCCGCCTGTATGTTTTAATCAAAATGCAGTGTTGTACATGAGTAATCACTTCTTTATATATTCTGTCCAGGCCTGGCACTAATCCACGTTTGTGCCTAAAAAATAAGTAAACCCTATATATTATATTCTTCACCTGTTCATTTTTGTACAACTTTCAGTTAACAACTCTTTTGAAATCACGCTTACAATAAAATACAAAATTATGTCAGTCAAAATGTTCTCTAGCAATGTCAAAGATTCAAGTAAATCAGTGAAAACAAAGAGTCTTTGTAAAAATGTTTTAACTTAAATGAGTTCTTTGTTAAGTTGTCAGACATATACAAATACAACACTGGTTTAATACTTGAGTTTAGAAGACCCTTTATGCCTGAATGATGTGCAGATTGGAGTATGTGGTTTTACAACAAACTAAAAGAAGGGTTAATTTCTGATCAGAAAATTAGCAAAAAGCAGCCAAAGTCCAAAGGAAAACTTTGGAAAACCTTTAGAAAGCTTAAAGAACAATTGCTCAATACTAAGATTACAAGAAAGTGTGGTTCCTTGGAAGCTAAAAGTAATAAAGGAAGGACTTTTGAGCACATATAGATTTACACTAGATTGTCAGTAGCAGATTATTTTAGTCCTGTTAAATGCATAAAAGGTCTTAACTGATTAAACATGTCTAACAATTTTTTTGTTTCAATTCTATAATCCACATTTTAAAATAAAAATATGTACCGGTAATAGCAATATATGATAAAGAAGTCTTTGACTGCAGAGGAAAACTTGAAATAAATTATCAGTCATTCTTTGTATTCCAACTTTACTCAGGAAAAAAAAAACAACTAGAATTGTAGATTTATGTGGTTTTAAAGCTACAGTATCAAACTACCTTACCAAACTATATTGGCATATATAAAAAAACAAATATACACTAAATATTATTCAGTCAAGAATCAAGTCAGGAAGATCATGAATACTGTACTAGACTGTAATGTCACAAACACTATTTACAGTTTGGCTACCAAAGCTCTTCTGTAAATTAATTAATGATATAATCGTACTCTGCGTTTATCGCCTATTAAAATCAATATGTGGACAAAGTTAAAATACTGTAGCGCAAAAACAAATAAGCTGAATTTAAAAGAAGTCGTGGCCAACACGAAATCATCAATTTGACTATACAACCCGTTTAGTTTGCTAATATAATTTCATAATTGTAAACTTAGACATTTTTATGTTACTTAATATAAACAACAAATCCAGGAAGAGCCATAATAATATTTAGTTTTCTCTACAACTTTACCTGCTAACCTTTCGTGCCAGTAGACCGCCATGTTCACTGTGAAGAAGTGACAGCTCCGCACGTAAACAATGTTTCAGAATACGACTTTGACCAGACTGATATTCTCGAAACAACGTACGCACCGCTTCACATGAGTTTCTGCGCCATCGCGCGTAAGCTACGCAGTCAATCGGACGTAACTTATGTCACGAATACGGCCTACGGGGCTACAAACAAACAGCCTAGCAGCTAACTGGCTATCATGGTACGGACCTGCAGCTAACATGCACAATGACAGTTATGATATCCACTGACACTAAAGCTACCCTTATAGACGTAACTATAAAAAGAAGATATAACATTGAATGTGCATGAGGACATCTAACCGCGCAGAATTAAAAAATAAAACATCATATATCTCGTGTACCCGAACCGGCGCAAGGCCTGCGAGGGCAGCTCATGCTCCGCTTTCCGAAGCGCTCACTGACAGCCCTAAAAATACAGCAACGGTAACCATAATAAACCTTCCACCCGTTCCCTACGGTTGTATGTTTCTCTTTCATAACGTACTGTCATCGACACAAAGACATTTACAGCTATTTTTACCTTGTTTAGTCGCTTGTCAGCTCTCGCAGCTCTTCCTCGCCCAAATCCAGAACAAACAGTCCCGAGCTACGTCAACGACGTCAGACGCAAGGGGGCGGACTGAGGGTGCGTCATCCGAAACGTCATCATCTACCGTTACTCCCCCTCCCACGGGTGAGCTCATGCAATACCAAGTAATTGTTTCAGCCAGAAAACAAGTTGGTGTTGTTTTAATTAGAAATGATAAAAAATATAAAAATTAAAAATAAAAATAATGATAATAATAAAATACACAAAAAAGCAAAGGTATAAAAACCAAAATAAAAAAACACTCCTATAAGCGAAATACATTTGGAGTTACCTGTGATGCTCACTTTAGTAAAACACATTCAATAACTAAAAATATAACCAAGCATTAAATAGAAAGCAAGAAACAGGGGGAAAAGATTAGTTCTGTCATCACATAGAAATGTTTCTTTGACTGCAGTAACAAGAAAAGGACAGCCATGGATAGTGACCTAGAAACATATGCAAAAATTGAAGACACAGGCATTCATTTAGAAAACAGACCTGCTCCACTTTTGCAAGATCCACTTCCAAAAAGAAAGAAAAGTGCAGAACAACGTCATATAGGAAAAGGTTTGTTTTTTTAAAAAGGCTAACAACTGGACTGCAAACTGATAGGCAACGGGGCTGTGAGTGATTTAAAATACTTCTGCAGTGTAAAGAAACACACAAAAGTTCTGAGTTTTTCTAAATATATAGTGTCTGATATCTCACAGAAAATTGTGAAAATTGTTGCTGAATATCCAACAGTGAAATCTTTCTTACATACAGGAGCTCTAGATATTGTTAAACAACAATCAGAAGTACTAAAAAGGATGTCTAATGCTCTTGCTAAATAAAGTTTGATGCTCGGATATTGAGGTGCATTTCAGTGGACCTCGGTCAACAGTACAAGGAGATGAAAGATTCATTAGGTTAATAATGCTTAATAAATTGCTCAGTAAGAGAGGAGAGTGGTTGTTGAGCTCAAATAGTTATGCGAACGTTGTGCATCACTTGCTCCTGCTGAAGATAGGATGCAAGATCCTGCCAGATGAGTCAGAGGGCAGCAGATACCAATGGAGATTTCAATCTAACTTCACCCCAAGTGAAGACTCATTCAACCTCAGTAGCTCAACAAGAGGAATCTTCTTCACCTTCATCCCATAGGATCCAGCAAAAATAAGCTCCTGTGGCCCAAATAGGAGACTTCCAACTCTCCTAATTCACTCATACAAACACCAATCTGCCCATCACCCAATTCACACCTTGTTGAACTCCTATATCATCTCTTTCAACCTCTCTCATCTTTCAACCTCTTCTATTCCACCATCACTGAAACAACCATAAACCAAAAGACATCATTGTTCCTAACCACTGCTAACTGCAACATTAACCCTACTTAATATTTGATTGCTACAGTAAGTCACCATTAATTAATGGTATTAATAGGACCTATAAATTAGACGTTTTATTCCTTAATAAAAAATGGTTAACTGAATGTAATTGTGATACTTTTTGTAATAAGGCAGAAATAGCTCGTTTTAATTTTATAAACAAATGTTGAAGTGGCAAGGGTGGGGGATTAGTTGTCATTTTTAATCCGATTTTTAATACAAGGAATTTACATTTGGTAATTTTAACTCTTTTGAACATCCCAGTTTCTTGGTGAAAACTAATCCAAAAGTCATATTTTTAAATTTTTTTTTTCATTTAGCCTTTATTTATCCAGGTTAGTCTCGTTGAGCCACGAGAACTCATTTGCAAGAGAGACCTGTTTTTTTTTTTTTTTTTTTAGGGAGCACATGGTGGGGGTTAAGGGCCTTGCTCATGGGCCCAGAGTGGGGCGAATGAGGGTGGGGGCAAGTGTGGGTGTTTCACCTACCCCACCCACAATTTTGATGTTGTCGGGGCCGGGGCGTGAACCGGCGATCTTCGGATCACAAGCCCACCTCTCTAACCTCTGCGCCACCACTCCCCCCAAGCTTATCAGCTCCACAGTATTCAGGTGAATTTATTGAAGAGTTGTTATCAGGTGTTTGTAATGATTGTAAGTTTTTAGGATATTTTAACATTGATATAGACAACAACATGGACAGTATTGTAAATGAAGTCAGAGCTCTATTTGAAATGTTTGCTCTGCATCAACATGTGAAAGAGCCGACACGCACTCATCATGGCCACACTTTAGATCTGGTGATCTCAAACGTGTTGATATTTCTTCTGTTTACAGGATCTTTAGTGTCATTCGCATCACATGTGGTACATGAGATGGAACGAAAATGTGTACTCAAGGTCCCACTTACCCCCTAAAATAGCAAAAATATACAAATAAACTGTATATAAGGATCTAAGATATTCACTAAGATATACACTAAGATATATGATAAAGGAATGCTAAACAATATGCTAAAAGATCTAAGATATGCGCTAAACCCCAATAATGTAAAATAATACGATATATTAAACAGCAGCCTGAACATGATCCTGTGGTGAGTTGGGTATGAATGAATACGGCAGCATGAGATCAGCAGCACAGATAAGTCACATATCACCAATTATTACAGTGATTTTCTTTTTTTTTCTTACAGTAATTATCCTGGTTAGGGATTCATGAGTCTAACAGCCTCAGGGTAGAAGCTGTTCCTCAGTCTGGTGGTTCTACACTTAATGCTCCTCAACCTCTTGCCTGTGGGGCAAAAATTATGTGTGCTGGGTGAGTGGGGTCCTTCATGATGCAGGTGGCCCTCTTCCTGCATCTGGAGGTGTAGATGATGGTGGGGAGGTTGACTCCAACACTCTTCTGTGCAGCCTTCACCAATCCCTGCAAAGCTTTTCTTACTGAAGGTCAGATCAGAATAGCAGCACACCAATATTTCAGACTTGATCTTTGGCTTTTAAAAACAATGAAACCCATATGTGTTTAATAACAGCAGTTGTCTTTTCTATAGAGCCATATATTTACCTCAGTTTTATTGTAATTCAGTTGGAGGAAGATTTGATTCATCCAGTTATTTGTGTTAAACCTCTAATGAACTGTAGACGTTTGGAGACAATGCTAAATATAGCCGTGTGTCATCTGCATAATTATGATAGCCAACATTCAATTCCTGTAGACTTGTATAATGTTAGCAACGAAAGTGGTCCTAGAACTGACCCTTGAGGAACCCCACATTTCAAAGACAGTTAATCCAACTTGTAAACTTCAATAAATATTTATGCTCTTCCAAGTAGGAGTTGAACCATTTTAGAATTGTTGCACTAAGTCCTACCAAGTTTCCAGCCTGTTCAACAATACGTTGTGATCTATCTAAAAGCACTGACTGACACTCGTCAGTATTCAACCTGATATCACTTAATACCTCAGTGAGTGCAGATTCTCTACTGTGATGAGGTTGGAACGCTGACTGAAAATAATCAGAAACACTATTAGCATTCAGGAAATTGCTGAGTTGATTAATTACTAGAATCTTGTCTATGTAGGGAAGATTTGAGATGGATACGTACTCTGACTAACAGAAGTGTCCAACTTTATTTTATTTATTCATTTATTTTTGAATGGCTTAATAACAGCTCCTTTTAAGGAATTGGGAAATATGACTGACTGAAGAGAGCAGTTTATTATTTTCTCCAAATCAAGTTGAATAGATTTCACAATTTTTAAGTGGTATTATATCAAGACAGCAAGTTTATGGTTTAAGATGCTGGACAGTTTCCTCAATAGTTTTTGGTCAATTTTATTAAATTATGACATCATAATGAAGTATTTTGTGGATGGTTCAAGGATTTACGTTTTTATCATTTTGCTGATCTACACTATTTTGCATCTTGATTTTATTTTGAAATAGCAAGTACATTTTTCTGTAGCAAGGACTTAAGAAACAATCTGATTTGGATGATTTGTCAGTGTATCCCACAACAAACAAGTATTAATTATGTTTTTACTGATATTTTCAGAAAAATATTGCTTTCTAGTCCTGTATAACTCATTGTTTAAGTTACATTGCTTATAGAGGTCATTATGAATTTAAAGTTTAGTTTTTCCTCCATGTACGTTCTGCTTTCCTGCATTGATTTCCAGTTCCTTACCACTACAATGTTCCTCCATGGAGTTTTTGACAGCTCAAGGTCGTTTTAGTTTTAATACGAGCAATAGCATCAACAGTTGAGCTTTTCTGATCAAGTTTATCTAGACGTTCATCAGCTGCATGTCCCTTCACGGCTTTGACATTATGGTTTCCATAAACTTTGTATTTTTATTTATGTATCGTATTAACAGACACAGGGGTCAACTGAGGATTTAGAATAATGTGTAGGATAAAAACTCCTAAAATGATCAGAAAAAAGCAAGTCTTTAACATGTGGTAGTTGGACTTGGAACAGTAGTCGTATCAAATCTATCTCCAAAACAGCTTAAAAAAAAAAAAAATCAGGTAAAGAACACATTTAAATTAAGTTTTATATGCCAAACAAACTAGGTTCTTACTTTTATAGGAGACTGAATTATTTTAATGGTCTTCTTTCTGATGAGTTGCATTTAATATTTGAAACGTTTTAAGTAAACCAGACTTTTCTGAACCCCCCCCCCCACAAAAAAGGTAAACCAGAATTAATGCAGCATCCAGAAATTATGGAGTTACCGAGACCACTGTTGACAAAGCATAACAAATTTGTAAATATATACAATAGGTATTTTAATTAAACCCTGCAACATAATTTAGTGCTGCAAATTAAACAGAAAACTTCTCTAGGATAACTACTCATAATTGCAATTTACTTTCAATGTTCAATAATATCACACCAAATAAATCTGCATTCCATCCTGCTATTCGGACAAGCATCTTAATTTGATTGAAAGACGACAAATAAAAAAGGGATTTAACAAGTTTATTTCTTCGCTGAAACAACACAATCACAACTATATTCTGAATAATTCAGAATATTCCACATTTCCTATAAACTGTGCTCAAACCCGACTTGTCTATCCCCCATATTTGGAATATAATCATCCATCAATTTTTATTTTCTGTGATCTAGGAAACTGCGTAAAATGAGAAACATGACACCCAGGATCTCAATTGGTTTTAAAAACAACTTAAGAGGTTTCATGAAAGGAACAATATATTCAAAACAAAAAAATGGACATTTGTGAAATATGACAATTTACCTTCTTCACTTAAGAGGGGGGAGAAAAAAAACAAAAACACTTTTGCTTTCATTAACAAAAAATACACAAGCAGGTAATCACTGAGAATTAAGACAAAAAAAAAAAAAAAAAAAAAAAAGAGAGACCGCGGACGTCTACAGAAAGATTTTGGTACACAATCATGCATAAATTTGGAGTTCTTGTATGTAAATTTTCAAGTTTCTTTTTTTTTCCATTTTATTCTTAGCATGAAAGAATTGTTATACTCAAAATGTAAAATCCTTGCTAATAAGAAAAAAAGGGAAGCAAAAACTCAACTAGCAAATGACAGAAGAGGTATGTACATGTAATTTTCCTAGCATTAAATGGATAGTAGGGGGAAGGTCACCCACTGGTCAAAATAGAACCAAAAAGCTACAAAAGTCACTCAGCATCCCCTTCGTTTGCTTCCTGGTCACCCTGTAACCCATCTTCAGCAAACTCATCATGCACAACATATCCTTCATCCTCTTCCTCTTCCTCTCCAAGAGCAAAACCTTCATCTCCTTGGTTTTCCTGCTCATGCTCCTCCTCCATCTTTTCTTCCTCCTCCTCCACGGCTGCTGCTTGTGGTGCTGCGTCTGCCTCCTCCTCTTTCTCAACTGCTGCTGAAGTTTCCAGTGGTGCTGCTGCTTCTTCTTTCGGCGCCCCTTTATCTGCATCTCCCTCAGGTTCACCTTGGACCTGGGTGCCTGTTGCCTGGTTGTCTGCTGTTTCACCCGTTAACTCCACTTCTGACACGTCCATTGCAGCAGAGCCCTCTGGATCTTGGTCGTCATGTTTACCATCAAATGGGTTCTCGCCCTGATGACAACAAGGTTTATTCATTAAAATAAAACAAAAATAAAAAATAAACATCTAAACCTGATTGCTGATTAAAATGCAAGTTATCGCCCCATTCAAGTACAGACTCCCAGTATTTCCCAGAGTAAATCCTGAAATTCCAGAAGATATTTCAGTCATATAAAAACACACAGAACTTGGTGTTTTAATTGGCGGGAAGAATCACATTCAGAGATGACAGTAAGTATACTGTAGCATACAGTAAGTGTAGTAATTATTATTAATTTTATAGCATAACATCAGATACAAAAAAAAGTCAGCATACTGTGTACACTGTAGAACAGAACATGCAGTCAATAAAACTAGAATACTAGCATACATGTACACGTAAAATATACGGAACAAAAATATAAATTTTGTTTTTGCTCACAATTTTTATGAGCTGAACTCAAAGATCTGACTTTTTCTATGTACACAAAAGGAATTTCTCAAATATTGCTCAGAAATTTGTGTAAACCTGCATTAGTGAGCACTTCTCCTTTGCGGAGATAACCCACCCACCTCACAGGTGTGGCACTTTGAGATTTTTGTTAATGAAAAGTGCGTTACAAATTAAATTCATTATTATTATTATTATATCAAGATGCTGATTAGACAGCATGACTGTTGAACAGGTGTGCCTTACGTTGGCCAAAATAAAAGGACACTCCAAAATGTGTGTGTGTGTGTGTGTGTGGGGGGG